TAATAATAATAATAATAATAATAATAATAATAATAATAATAATAATAATAATAATAATAATAATAATAATAATATAAATGAATAATCGTAAGAGAAAAAAAATAACAAAAATATTATTATTAATAAACAAAAAATAATAGACAAAGAATAAAAATAAATAAATAAATAAATAAATAAATAACAAACAGAATAAATTAATAACATTAATAACAGGGAGAAAAAGGAGAAAAATACAAGAAATAATATTAACGGTTGTTAACACAAAGATTATTGCCAATTCTTTGACCCAAGGAAATTTAAATTTCGTATCCCCTGCATATATATATGTATAAACAACATTAAATGATGTTATATAAATATTATTATAAATATTTAACTTCAAACGGATCCCAATTAACGCAAGAAATATTAGAAATATTAAATACCTGCACATGAACTCTCACGAATTCAAAAAACTTGCATATTTGACAGAACATTAATTAACATTAAATGGAATGGTAGTAATTCTCCAAAAAAAAACTTTTTTGGAGGGAAAATAGAAATAAATAAATGATGATACATCTCACAAACATTTTTCTAAACATTATTTTTCTCCTATTTTTTTCTTTATTCTTTCTCCTTTTTCTCTCTTCTAATATAATGCTAATAATATTTATACCAATGTTATGCTAATATTTATGTTAATATTATACCAATTTTATGTTAATATTATACCATTCTATATTAATATTATACTAAATAATGTGCATTTATGCAATAAATCAAAATGAATTTGCACAAAAGAGATTATAAATGATAAAACAAGTACAAACTTAACATTATGAATTTCCTGAATTGGTCATTAATAATATTATCCTATTGGTTTTTTTTTCTTTGATTTATAACATCAATAAATAAATTATGTAATTCTTATTAATTTACAATTTTTGTCAAAAAAAAAAAAACAAAGAAAAGTTTGTAATCAAAAAAAAAAAAATGTATATAATAAATATAATGCCTAAAACAAATTTAATAAAGTATGTTTATTCACTTCACTACTACTGGCTTGGATAAAAGAAAATCCTATTATTAATCAATAAGTTTATTTGTAAATCTAATAACTTGTATATTTCCTTTGTCTATTTTAAGCAAAACTCATCATAAATCGTTATTTACTAAATGTATTTTACAATGTCTTTGTAAGCACAATAATAATAATAATTGTACAAAAGAAAAATATGTTAAATAAATTTAATTTGTAAAATTGATTTTAGTATACAATTTATATTTTTTACATTGGGAAAGATCGTTGTTCTTGTTATCTACAATATATTGTACAATACATTCAATTGATAATATAAAAACTTTAGACACATTGAATAAAGAAGAAGAAGTGAATTGTTGAAGATTATGAACTTTTATTAACAAATCTTAGATCTGATATTAAATAATAATGTAGTAAATTTTTATTTTTAAAAATCCTTCATTTGATCTGTTTTTTTATTGAAAGATTTAAATGAGATCTGAAAAAATAAAACTAAATCATCATCATTTTTAATTCTCTTGCAACAAGATTTATATTAACTTTTTTCTTGAATTTTCATATTTGCTTTACTTAAAAAAAAATAATAATTGATCTGAGGTAGATAATTTAATTTAATATATTTATTTATGCTTAATTATTTAAGAAATCAAGGACGTGCACCAACAATTTCTCTTAAACCATTTGATGATTCATCAATATTTCTTTCTAAATATTTTCTTGATTTATCTAGGGTAATAAGGTCTGTATCTATTTTTGAAACACGATTACTAAGTTCATTAGTCAAATCTCTTATGTCTGCTCGAATGAATCTATTTATTTGAGTACAAAATTTATCAAGTTTAAAATGAATTAATAAAAAAATTAATAAAAAAAAAAATTAAATAACTAAATAAATCAAATAAATTAATAAAATAATTAATTAATTAATTAAAAATTAAAATGAAAGATATTCATATACTTACGCCTTACCCACAGATTTATATGTCCTAGTATCATTTTCCAAAGATGATAATTCACGTTTGGTAATTTCAGCCAAACGCTTTTCACGTTCTTTTAATTGAACTTGGGATTTTACTGTATTAAGTTGCCTAGTATTTTCTACAAGACGATTTTGTAATTCAAACAGGATCTATAAATTTTGTCAATATGTTTTAAAGTTCTATAATAAATAAATAAATAAAAATCAATTAATTAATTAATTAATAAGGTTACCTTGCGTAGAGCTTCATCCGGGAGTGACATGGTAAAGGTAAATTTAAAGAACAGTGTTGTTATTCTCAAATTTATAGTTTTATTGTACAACCGGGAAAATTTTGCTTATCAATAAATCTATAAGCAATTTTCATTTTAACTTTATTTAGCTTTTGGAAAATTATTTTTATCGAAAATGGAAATTAATAATTAATACATTTTGTAAGTAAAATATTATCAATAGAATATTTTTTTAATTCAAAATGTGATTTTAAAGAGGGTTGATTGTTTATCTCAATTATATTTCTTTTTTCTTCTTTTTTTTTTTTTTTAAAAAAAAAAATAGATAAAGTAAGGCCTTTGCCTCTGATTTATTTATTTTAAATTAGACAAAAGTTCTTAAATGATAACCTATATTAAAGTAAAATTTACGTTTTAAATCCGAGATTCAGAATGACCCCTTAGGAGACCTGCTACCAAAGACAATTATATTTTATTATAATATCATTAGTAATTATATTATTATTTAAAATAAAACTTATGAAGAAAATTTAGAGATGCACAATTATTAGAATTGTGAAATTGTATGATTTGTGTGAATAAATCTTTCTCTGGAAATTTCATTCAAAGAAAAGAAGATCAGAATTGTGGAATTGTATTATTTGTATGAATAAATCTTTCTCTGGAAATTCATTCAAAGAATAAAAGTAGCATTACTCTAAAACGATGATGTATGTATGACAAGCCCAAAATTATCAACTGATATATCACATAAAGTATATCACTCGACAATAAATGATGTATCTTTCAAAAGAAATATTTCAATGAATTCAGAAGTTTCTATAGAATTTTCGAAAGAATTAGGATTCAAGATAGAACAATGAGAACAATACAATACAATTGTAATGTGGTGCTAATTCTGCTAAGAAGCATTGATTGTATGAATATATTATTTTATTTATAAAATTATAAATAAAATTAATAAATGAATTCTTAGATTCTAATTAGGCGTAGCACAAAAATTATTTTTTTCGAGTGAAATAATAATAATAATAATAATTTAACAATAATTTTACAATGTGGATCGATACAACAATTTGTTATTAGAAGTCGCTTCATTATAATCCTTCACTAAATTGCTTATACTCTTGAATTTATCATTTTTAGCATCACCCAAAAGTTGGAATATAATTGATTCCGAAGTTGTGATTGATGCACCAGCTTGATACATACGCTATAAAATTAATAAATAAAAAAAAAAAAAAATTTTAATCGTTGAATAGAAAATATACAAAATAAATTAAAAAAAAAATAATAATTATTAACAATATACTTGTAAAGAAATGTCGATTTCTGGATAACGTATTGATGAAACTCCATCGGCCAAAACATGAACATCATAATTATTCTCCAATAAATCCAAAGTTGTTTGTAATATACAAACTTGCGACTAAAAATAAATAGATTAAAGAAAATATTTGAAATTTGATAAATTAAATCTGTAAATTGATATCTCTCACGCGAAACTACCTCAATTCCAAAAAGTACAATGGATTTCGTGTTTTTTTCTTTTAATATTTCTAAGACTTCGGATACTGCCATTGAAAATTTTGTTTTGGGTATAACAGCTTTGGCATCAGTGATATCAAGTTCGTGAGCCGTGCTTCCGAGACCTTTTTTTTTGTTTTATTATAAACAAATTTAAACGGATTAACTGATTCGAAAATCATACAATCAAATGAAAATTTTTTTAAAAAAAAGGTGAAAAACCTTTAGGATTCTAAAATAATAGAATTAAAATATTTGAAATATTTATTTATCAAATTCTAATATTTATTGACGTCCTCAAAAATAAATATTAATACTAACCTGTTCAGTAACAATTAGTGGGATCTCTAAGATTTTGGAAGCAGCAATCTTTGTATCAAATGAAAATAATATAAGGAAATGATCATGAAATTAATGTTTTTAAATTCTTCGTTCGAAAATCATGTGGCAAGATACCATTTTCTGTGCCGTTGAGATTAGACTTGGGAACTGATAAATGTGAGCCCTAAATTTCTCTTGTATGTCACAAAGGAAGAATGCAGTACTTTTGGAATTAACTTTCATTACATTACGTAACGTGGACATTTCGACAATTGTGAATTGAGAACGGAAAAAAAAAAAAGCAAAGTTGATATTTGCGAAGATAAGGAAGATAAGCACTTTTATCACGCATATGATTACTTAATTTGGATATGAAATTTTTGAAAAAAAACGCGTTCTTTTATTTGCTTTATTTGACTAATAATTCAGAAATTATTGTTTTTTGGTTTTTTTTTTTTAAATATTTAATTTGTTATATATAATTTTATATTTAAATATTCTCTAATTTGTATTATTGTATTATTATTATTATATCATCGATTCTAATAATTAAAATCTAGAAATTTAGATCATTATCTATTATGGCATTTCTTTTGGAATAATTAATTCTCTATATTGTTTGATCTTGTCGCCCTCAAATTTTCTTACTTTACCAGATTCACAAACCCAAATCTCCTCACACACAGAATCAATAAACCGTTCATCATGAGAAACAAGAATTATTCCTCCTTTAAACTCTTTGAGAGCATTTATCAATGCATCCATAGAGTCCATGTCAAGATGATTAGTCGGCTATACGAACATGGAAAATTTTTGATGGTTATTAAAAGAATTAAAGGATATTAAAGATAATAAAGAATAAAAATAAATCAATTTATGTACCTCATCCAATATCAATATATGTGGATTCTGTAAACCCAAACATGCAAAAGTAACTCTACTTTTTTGACCTCCAGAAAGCGTTTCTAAGGGTTGTAATCCTGTCATTCCAGTAATACCAAAGTTTCCTAATTGACGTCGATATTCTTCTTCAACCCTGCCTGGAAACTTTTGTGCCATAAACATTACAGAATTTGTACTGAGATCTAATTGATCTACGTGATGTTGCATAAAATGTGCAAATCTAAGACGTCCATGTCGATGAACTTGACCAGAACGAGGTTCCAATATACCCGTTAGAAGTTTGAGTAAAGTGGATTTACCTATTAATGAATGATTTTTTTTTTTTTATTATTTTAAAATTAATAATATACTAATTATAATAATTTTATCAAACAATTAATTATAACAATTAATAAAAGATAATTACCTGACCCATTAGGTCCTGGAAATTAGAAAATAATTTCATATTTTTTAATATATATATATATATATTCAAATGTCAAATAAAGAAATAAAGCAAATTTCTTAAAAATAATTCTTTACTCACCTACAACGGCTATTCGAGAATCCAGTTGAACAGAGAGACTAACATCTGATAATATTTTAGGCCCATTTCCATATCTGAAATTGACCTCACTTAATTGAAGAATAGGTGGACTCAATGCATCAGGATTGGGGAATCTATGAAATATAGATTTTATTTATTATCAATAAATAAATAAATAAATAAAAAATGACTTTAATTATATATATATATATATATATAATTACTTGAATCTTACTTGAATGTAACGCTATTTTCCACCTCTGGCGGTTCCAGAACAGGAAGTTTTTCTAATATTTTAATTTTACTCTGAGCTTGTGGTGCTCTTTTAGCATTATATCTCCAACGATCTATAAAATCTTGCAAGTGTTTCCTGTATTGCATTTGACTTTCGTATTCACGTAATAGATTTTTGCGTCGTTCTTCTTTAGTAGCATAGAATTGAGTAAAATTACCCTTATAATAATCAAGGCGCTCTGAATGTTGATGTAAAATATCAGTTGCCACCTCATCAAGAAATTCTATCAAAATTATAATGCAAATTTCAATATTTTTAATATTTCAATGTTTTAATACTTCAATATTCAATATTTTAATATATCATATATTGAGAATATGTAAAAAAAAATACATTAAGAATAAAATAATACCTCTATCGTGAGAAACAACAAGTAAAGTACTTTGCCATGTTTTAAGATAGTGTTCTATCCATGCGACAGCTGGAATCTTAAAATTTTTAAATATTTAAACATTTTAAAGTTAGGATCTGATTAACAAATAAATTCAATAAAAAAATTCATAAATTGTAAACCATATATTACATCTAACATATTTGTGGGTTCATCCAATAATAATAGATCAGGACGGCAAAACAATGCCCTTGCTAAAGCAAGACGCATCCTCCAACCACCAGAAAATGTTTTTGTTGCATTTCGTTGCGTTTCTGGAGGAAATCCTAAACCAGACAGAATAGCAGCAGCACTTAAAAAGAAACAAAAGAAACACATATCATTATACTGAAAATCTATTTTATATATTTTTTGATAATAATGATTACTCTCGACTTTATCAATTATTTAAGAATCAAAACTTACCGAGATTCGGCCTTATCACTCTCAATATCTTCCAACTTTTGATATACTTCTTTTAATCTTGAATTAGCAGTTTCTTTCTCTTGTTCAATGACGGCTGGATCCAAACCATTAGGATTGTTTTCGAACTCAAGAATATCTTTGTTCAATTTTTTTTCCTCATTCAAAAGATGTTCTCGCCAAATATCAGCACTTAAAACTGCTTGAATTGCTGGAGTGTCATCACCAACCATCTACATCCTCCCATATTTTAATAAATATAATGAGAAATTAAGAATTATTATAAAATAAACTTTTGATAAAAAATTTTTTAATAATTTTAATAATTTTTAATCTACCTCTTGTTCTACATGTAAAATACTAATATGAGTTGGTACATTAATTTCTCTCCTTGACATAGTTCTTAACAAAGTTGATTTCCCAATACCATTTCTTCCAACTAAACCATATCTTCTACCATAGACCAATGTTAATGTAGCATTGGTCAATATTTTTTTCCCTCCAAATGAAATGTCAAAATTTTCTATCTTGACATCTTTAACTTTTCCTTTGGTAGAAGTATAATCCAAAATCGGATTTACTTGCATATAGAATTCTGCGTCATCATTCTTCGAAATCAATTTACTTGATTCATAATTAGATCGTCGCTCTCGTTTCTCAATTTTTGCTTTGATCTTGGCTTCAGCTTTCTCCAATTTTTTCGTGTCAACTCGTGTTCCGACTTTTCTTCCATTAACAGCTTCTAAATCTACATTTTGTGAAACTAACCCAACTGTAGCCGAGATCGAATTCTTCGAGAGCATGTTTACGGGCTGTTCTAGTTTGTTAAGTCCTTTATTCGTGGAATTATTAACGAGATTCTTTTCTGAGATGCGCGCAAAAGCCTCTGACAAATTTTCACATAGTTTGTGAATTCGTTCTTCGTCCCCACCTGCATCGATGAGAATTGGACGAACAAAATCAGATATAACGTCTTCCCCATCTGCTAATGACGGAGTTTCATCGAGATAACCTATCACATAGTTAACAATTGCGTCGTCAATGTTGGGTACTGATTTACGTATCAGTTTTGTCCACTTTACAAGATCTACTTCTGCCATTATGAGCTAGAAAACCCTGTTGATGACGTGTTATTCATTTCATTTGTGCAATTGGTCACGAGATATGCACAGTAAAAATTCAATATTAACGAATTTTACTTATTATTATATATCAAAAATTTAACAGCGACTAAGTTCTGCTAAAATATTATAATGGGTTGTAATACATAAAACAGGTTAACTCAAATTAGAATTCTGTCCAAAATTTATTTTTAATAAATAATTTATCAAAGTAGAAAAGACGAATTGAAAAAAAAATATCTAATGGTAGTGTATCTTAAAAATTATGTTTCGCGAGAATTTATATCCCGATACTCGGATTTTCTAATTGTACAATTAATTAATACCTACTTCGAAAGAGCCTCTTTTACTTAATATATTTTTGTCTACTTTGTTCTTCGTAACTCACTTCTTTTTGCTGGAAGCAATTACAGTAATAATGGGTGAAATTGGAAGGCGGGTTTCGTGATCATTGAAACAATGTGAATATAATTTTATTATTGGTACAGCAAAATAAAAATACATCGGAATTTATGCTAAAACAGGCGATATCATGCAGTTTATATAAGAATATTAGGAAAGATTGTTAATGAAAATAATAAATCGCAGTATATTAAGTCTAAAAATATTAGAGAAGACTGTTAACGAAATTGATTAAAGAAGCTTCATTTGTAGCCCTTAGGAATTTATATCCTTGGTTTGGCTAGTGTACAAAGAAAAATTGGTCCAATACATCACATCCAACAAGGGAGCTATCTATATGGTCACCAGGATCTAGTTGCCAAATTCTAAGTGTGTCTGTCTTCACCCATTTGCTCCAGTTATTATTGTTTCCAATCGCCACTTCAAACGGCACTGATGCAATAAAACACGAGAAAGTGCACCATATCCTCTAGCTTTCCTACTACGTTCCACCCTTGTTTTCCTAGCTATCAAAAAATACACCTCATCGCCGGTCTCTATAATTAAATGCGTATAACATAAATAACAAGAAGATACTGGTTTACATTTATGGATTAAATTGAATAAAGAAAAAGAACCTACTGATTTTCAAGGATATGTTATTATTATATCTATTATATCTATTACATCATTATTATCATTATGTGGAGGCATTTTCCTTTCCATTCATTATCTATTTTCTATAGATTATGAAAAAGAAAACAAAAGAAAACAAAAAAAAAGTCATCATCTCTTGCAAATGTAGCTGCAGACAAAAGTTATTCAAATCCTTTAGCTATTAGTATCAAGAATAGTCAACCCAGTTTTATCAATTTCAAAAGATTCCTTAGATAATTCTAATGACATATTAAATCCATCATTGTCGAATTTAACCAAATCATCAACATCGTCATCCCGAAAATCTTTAGATGGGAATATTCAAAAAAAAAAAAAAAATTCATTACGAGGACGTCCAATGTCACTACCCATATCACCTAAAATAAAAACTTCCTCGAATTTTGTTAATCTTGATAATTTGAATTCAAAATGCTAGTTATAATAATAGTAATAAATCTAATCGACTTATTAATATGCCTCCACCTGTGATGAATATGAATGATCCCACAAAATCTTCAAAAAATAAAAATACTTCATCCAAACGCTAACGATTATAGCGTGTTAAACCTATTAGATCAAGTTTAATATTCATTCTTAAAATGCGATCCAATTTTTGTTCATTCATAAAGTCTTTGCAAATATATAATGACTATATTCCCAATATTTAAGTCCGAGAAAATTCGTCTTCTTAACAGGAGATAAACAATTTTTCATGGAAGATAATAGAAGGGCAGGAGGAGATAACAGACAGTAATGAAAGAATATCACTTCTTACTCAAGATTTTTACAATATTTATTAAGTCTCTAGCTTTCAAAACATCCGAAACTTTGCAACTTTGAAGATAACATAATATAATAAGCTAAAACTATTAAGTGTAAAAGTAATATATTTTTTAAGCAAAATAAAGAACTTCTTTTTTTTTCTATTGTAATAAACTTTTATTCTTTACTGTCCTATCAGATGAAAATTTTATTTGAAATTTTCTTTTTTCTATTTTCCGCTTTTCTATCAATAAAATTTTAAACACTTACATCATAATTATCGTTTCTTGGTTTCCAGTTCACGTTAGGAAATCTACAAATAGTTAGACGACGTACAGGATATGGTCCTATACACCGCCATTAGCAAATAAACAACTAACAAATAGAATAAATAGAATAAATAAAATAAATAGAAAAACACCCACTATCCTAGTATTTTCTACCATCTTCTATCTAAATCTTCTAAAGTTTCTTTCTTCCAAACCTACCTCAAATATCGATGTCTAATATATGTGAAAAAGAAAAAAAAATAAAGGTTAATATTTTTATTTCTATTATTCTTTGACAATTCTTTAATAATAATAGATTAGAAAAGCGGAATGAAGAAAAATGAAAAATGAAAAGTTGGGACAAAAAGTGAAGTGGGAAGAAAGCAAAAAATAGCTGAGGATCAGTGTATAGTCTTAATCATGTCATCGAAATTTATTGAAACTTTACTTTGTTTTTCAAAAAAGGAAATTTTATGAGATAATCTATTTGTCTTAATCTTTTTATTTACAAATGTTTGCATATGATTGTCTTAATTAAGAAACTTTTAAAAGTTATGCATGCATAATTAAGAAAATTTTTCTCATGAAAAAAACATATTTAAACCTCTGCTTTTTTGTTTTTTTCTTTTTTTTCTTAATTTCACTTTTCACTTCACTTTTTTCACTTCCTCATTTTTCCGTTTTTCCGTTTTCCTAATTTCCTTGATCTTTGAATTTTATAATATTAACCTTTATTTTTTTTTCTTTTTCACATATATTAGACATCGATATTTGAGGTAGGTTTGGAAGAAAGAAACTTTAGAAGATTAGATAGAAGATGGTGGAAAATACTAGGATAGTGGGTGTTTTTCTATTTATTTTATTTATTCTAATTCTATCTGTCTGTTGTTTATTGTGTTTATTGCTAATGGCGACGTATAGGACTGTGTCGATTGTTGCGCCTATGCGTCGTCTTCTCTATTTGTAGATTTCCTAATGCGAACTGGTAATCAAGAAACGGTGATTATAATGTAAGCATTTTTAATATCATAGGAAAACGGAAAAGAAGTCCTTTATTTGATGTATGTCGTAGCATATTATTTTATTTCTCTTTAATTTATTTTTTTGAAATTTGCAAAATATAATAATTACATAAAAATAAATATCACTTACAAAGGTTTTTATAGGCACTAAGGTAATTTTTTATATAATAATTTTGTTTGAAAGTTTATGGCACTCGATATTATGTAAAATTGCTTCACAAATATTTTATATGGATCAATTTTTATTATAGAAATTCTGTTACGTTCAGTAGTAAGCGCAGCAGTAGATACTAGCGATTTATTTGTAAATATGGAATGTCAAAAAAAATAAATAAATAGAATTTGATTGGAAATTAAATAATAAAGGAATTAATAATGGATTATATATCCTAATGCAACTACTAAAGATAAAATAAAGAAAATTTTGCAAGAAAAATAATATTAGTGCGCGCGTTCAAACTAAAAAAAAGTGGTGACTTTATTGTTGCTCGTACAAATATACAAAATGAGATTTCATTACGTAAAGTAAATCTTTTATTATTTAATTAAAATTTATTCAACTGAGACAAGAGAATTTCAGTCCTTTATGTACAGATTCCTTAAAATAGACTTTTATCCTAGACACTCTATATAAATAAAAAAATTTAAAGTAGCAAACACGTGGTAAATACAGTTGTAACCTTATTGGGTGTATATACCTTTTCATGAACTTGCAAAGTAGTTATACATATCATTACAGATTATAAAACAAAAAGTATTTTATGATACATTCTATTGGTTATCTGACCGAAAATTCTTTATTAAATGTACTATGATAAAAACACATGATATCGATATATGATGCACTATAAAAATTAGTTTTGATAACAATAAGATTAATAATTGGATCGCATTTTGAAATATATATGCTATAAATCTAAAAAGAACATTTTTCATAAAAAATATATATACATATAATTTTATATTTTAATAGGCAATCCCTTCTTTTGAAATTTTGAAAGCGTAAAGTTATGATCAGCATTACACAAAACCATATGTATCATATATTTTTTGGAACCTTTATTTGTTAATGAAAAATAAAATAAATAAATAATACAAAGTAATAATACAATATAATAAATACAATCTCCAATCTATCCAGTCTATATATACTTTTTACACAGATGTATCTTTATCATTATAAAATTAAATGTTGATGTTATTAAAACAGATGAATGGGGTTTTTTCAAATTGCCCATGATGAAAGCAAATCACTTTCTTCTTCATTGATAAAAGGTTTCTCGATTGTCTTAATCATCATATCTCCACATAAAATACATTCGGATGCCACTAGATCATCTAGTTCGTCCTTTAATTGATCAACTTTAGGAACTACTATAGCAACATCATCACCACTGTGTGTCGCCACTTCGGGTAAAATCAATCCTCTTAATCGATCTAATCCACCAGGTGCAGGTCTTGGACGATTAGAATTATCAGGTATACGGTTAACATTGGATAGTTCTTTTTCTATTTGTTTCTGAAGATCTAATATAAGGCAAAGCTGTCGTGTATTACTTGTGGTGGTAACCTATAATTCAACAATATACATTTATTTTAATAATAAAAACTTATTTTGATTTATTTTAAATTGTAAATTGAAAAATAATTATTATTATTATAATAATATCTACTCACCCGATTGATCAAACAATCAGCGTGAAATGCATGTTGACATGGAAATATATAAAATTGCCTTGTTAAAAGTGGAAAATCACATATCGAACATTTTTCGCTGGATGTTACAATCGCAAAGCTATTAAAAATGATTAAAATGATTAAAATTATTAGAATTATTAAAATTATTAAAATCATTAAAATCATTAAAATTATTGTCTAAATCCAATAATTCTCGATCATAATTTTCTTTGTAACTAAAATATTGACAATAATAACAACGAATCAACTAACCGACATCGCAATTCCCTTATATCTAATCGAATACTTTCAGCACTTTTAGTTGCTTCTTCCATATCATCTTTTAATTGTTCGATATGACAATTGTACTCTTCTAAAGCTTTATAAATTTCATCCTAATAATAAACAAAAGTTCATATTAATCATAAAATATTAAAACCAATATATAAAGAAAAACGAGTAATACCTTGAAATCATCAATGAGGACAAAATCAGGGAAAAATGGCAAAATATCTTCAATTTTAAGCAATTCACAGTGTTGCAAATAGTCCATTGCGCTATAACAATTATAACAGTAAAAATAATAACAATGAAATAATCACAATAATGATATTTATGATGAATATGAATATGATTAAAAAACTTACGTTTTGATATCTTGTTTTTTTTCAACAACGTGTCGTGCAATTTTAAGCCATAGTTTCTTTCGTAATTCACCATCATCTTCAGGCTTATCTGCATTAATTCTTGCAAGTTCTAAATCATTATGCTGTGAATTCCGGATTGCAAAAAGCAATTAAAAATATTTAAAAAATGTTAAAATATTCAAAATACAGTCAGATCTCTCTATAGTACCCACCCCTCTATAAATACATCACATAAAAATTTTCTTTATAAGCACACCAATTTTAAAACCAGTTATTATGAACATATAGAAGGAAAACCTCTATATAAACACAAACTCTATATAGGCACATTTTTTTTAAAAAAAAGGCATTATGATCTCGATGGTAGAGAGGTCTGACTGTATTCAAAGTGAAAGTGAATAAAAAATAGAAGAAATAGAAGAAGCACCTGCAATGCCAAATCAACAGCCTCTTCAAATAATCCCATGTTACTATAAATGTGTACACAACTTTGCATTCTTTCATTCTGACTACAAAGTCGTAACGCGTAATCCATGCTATAATATGGTTCCTTTCCCTATATAAATAAAATAAAAGTATAAATAAAAATATAAAGTTAAAACTATTAAAGATTTTAATTCTTTATTTTTAAGATAAAATATACAAACTTCTGTGGCTAAAAATTGCAATAAAGTAGACTCATCACGAATAGGTTGAGTGGCGTATAATGTAAGAAGAAAATTATGAATGGCTGGATCTGTATTATTGAGTTGTTGAACCACATATTGCAAATATCGTATTGCTTGATTCTATAACGATTTAAAATAAAAATTTATTAGAAATCATGAAGAGAATCATTTTTTGGGGGGGTCAATATTCTTGTCAATATATTTTATCTTCCCATCGTTTAAGGATGTAATTGATTTAATAAAAATTATAGGAAACTTGCTTGAGTAACGTTCTCAGGTGCTTTTGAATGATCATATTTTAATAATGCAGGCATTAAATTTCTAGGATTAAGATTTGTTTGTCGCATCCAGACATCAACAGTTTCATATGGTGCATTTTCCATTAAGGCTGGTGCAAATTTATAGAATAGATCAACAGATGTCTGAATTAAAAAATATATATTGTTAAAATCCATTCTCGAAATTTTGAAAGGAAAAAAAAACTAGTTATGAAAATAATCCATTTGATTTACTTGTTTACTAAGAACATCCAAAGCCTGCTTATAATTCCGTTCTTGGATCCAATGCGATATGACTTTATCATAATCACCAATTAACGTAGCATAAAACAAAAGTTCTTCCATACGCCCATGACTTGCAATGAGATTGTATGTTGTTCGTTTGTCTAGATTGGCCTTTGATAATGTTGGTTGAAAATTTAAGAGATGATTATTACAGGTTTATGGATTTATGATTTTTTGATGATGTTTATTTTTACCTTGAATTGTTCAAGAAAACTTTTAAATTCCACTTCTAATACTCTTTGTTCCGCTTTATAGTAACCGGTATCTTCAGATCCTGCACTTGATGCTGCCAAATCTTCGAGTAAATTAATTTTACTAAGATATATTTCAATAAGCCATGTAGCGATCATTGTTTTTTGAGTCAAATCCTAAATGATTGTTACACGTTTGTTACAAATATTGTAAATTTGAAAAAAAAATTAAGATAATCATCAATTTTCTGAATAAAATATTAAATATTATTATTATTACCTGACGTCTCAACTTTTCTAATTTAATTGATAAATAATTTCTTAACGCGTCTCTTTCATCTCTTTCTACAAATTTAAGTGCAACTTCTTCAAATGGTACAGTTGATTGTGCATAATAATTAGCAGATAGAAGAAATCTTCCTTGAGAAAAGTAATGTTCAGCTTGAGAAGTAAGAACTTTATCGCGTTGTGCAGGATTCTTTAAATAAATTAGACAAATATATTTATGTCAATATAAAAAATTTTTGTCATTTTAAACGGCGAGTACAATAATAATAAAGGAAAATTTTACCTTGCAATATTGTAAAGATGTGTCAAACATTTGTTTTTCTAAATATAACTTCCATACATCTCTATCTTCCTTTGATACAATTAGTTCAAATATTGAACAGTCTGTATAAATCCAAAATGTGTTCTTAACATTATCTACTGTCATAGTTCGGATAACCTCTCCAGGTTTCTGTAAAAAAAATATTTTTTAGTTCCAAGTTTGAAAATAAAGAATAAAAATAATCTATATAATATATAATATTGAATATATTACGTACAAGTGGAATAATATCTTCATAAACAATTTGGTCATTTAACTGACAAATTGCTCTAATGCGTTCTTTATATAGTAAAATAAGATGGAATTCGGTAAGAGCTATAGATAATGGAATTTCTGGTACCAAAGTAGAAGGATCATTTTCGGATGTTGTGGCAGGATATCTGCAAAAAAAAAATAATAAATAAATAAATAAATAAATATATTTTCCAGAGATAACTAGAGCACAAACAATTGAGATAATTGAGAAATCGAAAAAAAACATACGGTAATAATTGAGCGCTATCAATAACATGATCTCCAACATCTTGAGACCCAAATACGAGGTTACCATGATAAATTCCCGGTCCTAATTTTGACAAAGAAAAACAATTAGAAAACTAATGCTGTAATTTTAGGCTTATAGATGCTACGAGTAATATAAATAATAATCGAAATAAATAATAGACTTACCGGTTAACCACGCAAAAGTTTTAGCAGATCCTTGATACTGTAATTCTTGAAACGGAGTGAAAAAATGTAACTCGCTGTATGGCAAGTCTCCGGGAAGCTCAAGGAACACTGAATATATGAAACAAAATATATAATATAAACATATATAAAATAAATATATAATAAATATATAATATAATTTCTTAAATAGAGATTATAATTTTACCTGGATTTGTTTCATATTTAGAAAACAAAATTTCAAACATTGAACCATCCATATCTGTTCCAGGGTTAGCATTGCCTATAAACTGATATATCCTTGTAGGTGTTGTGGCGACTATAAAATATTTTCTTGGACTAGTGGGAAATTGTTCTAAGCGAAGACCAGTAATAGGAAGATTCTCGTTTAATGAATAAACCTAAGAAATTACGTTCATACATATATACATATATATTATAAATACTTGCTTACACATTGTAATTATAATAACGTTGATTAAAAATAAAAAATTATATAAAAACCGGTTTGCAATATTTCTCTTCTTTTTTAAAATATTCATCCGTTGGTTCTATTTCTGCTTCGTAAATAATACCATTACGACTACCGACCAGAATTTTTTTAGTTGAAGTATCAGATGAAGATCCTGAAGATTTATTCCAACCTACAGATTCAATTGTTATACCCTAAGTAATTTCGATAATAATTCCATTAAATATATTACGAGTTAAAAAATTTTTAAAAATCTCTCTTTTTACAAGACAAGACAAGACAAGATGAGACACAAGTCAAGTAAATCTACCTTGAATTTGGAAAGTAATTTAGCTTTTTTCCATTTTTCAAACATATAAAAATTCTCTCCTTGTTCTGTAGTAATGAGTAAATGTCTTCCAGTAGGATCGAAAAATATTTTATAAATTTTAACTTCTCCAGATTTGCGTGGAATTTCAATATCTGATAAGAACAATCACATATATTATTATTATTATTTTCAATACAATATGAGAATATTGATAAATAGATATAATCTTTGAAATAATAAAGATTTTTGAATTAAATAATCCGATGATCCAGATAATAATTCTACCTTCGACATCATGAGCTTGTTGCAAATCAATTCTTAAAATATGATTAGTTTCCAGAGCCATTATGAGAATTTCATTTGATACTGCCATTGCCGTCAAGGCAGCGGGAAATTGGAATTGAACACGATCTAAATTAAAAATACGTGAATCATCTTCGGCCAACCCAGTACTAACAAATCCGGTTTCCAACTAAAGCAATATATAAAAATTTGGAAATTAGCATAAGATAAATCAGTGCAAAACTTTGAGAATTAAAAATATCCTAACCATATGACATGGGTCATGCTCGAAACCATCCGTTTCCGGTAAAGCATTTCCAACATACGCTGGAGTTAGAGAATTACTTGATCCTTCAATAAAATCGTCAATTAAAGACATGATAATATAAAACAAGCTATTGTCTATTCATACAAAGATCTAATGAAATCCTAGATCAAAGTTTTGAATTTATCGAAGATTTATCGATCGTGTTCAAAATAACAATTCTTATTATTAGTGTAATAATTTTAACGCCTAAAGATTTACAGATTAACCGTACAGGTTACGTTTTTGATGTTGATAATCATCTATCTTTTTTTTTCCTCAAGATTTCACGCGCAGATATTCGAACGCGTTAAAAATTAGAATCTAAAAAATCTAAAATCCATTTTTACCAAGAAAATTTTGTCTTTGATTCAGCTTATAATCGCAAGAAAAAAAAAAGAAGAAATGCGGTCGATTTTTTGCATAATTACTAGTTATTTATTACCCACAGTCTTCACCGAAACTTGTTCTCATATATGTCATTTTTTTGCATGGATATATTTTTGTAAAGCAGTTTATCCAATTTGTTATCTTGCTCCAGCATTCAGTGAGCATATTCCTCCACCAAAAAGGCCAACAACACGAATTGGGACCTTTGTAATGTATTTTATTGTTATAATAGCTTTAACACTTGGACAAGTTATGAACATTAAGCAATCGATTGAAGTAAATAGAACGAAATCAAAAACCATCAAACTTTTAGAAGAAAAAGTAACAGATATGCAAATTTATCAAAAACGTAGAATTACAAAAGTTTCAAAATATTATGAACAAGAATTGGAAAAAGCCAAAATATTTCATGAAGTTATGGTTGAAATTATGGCAGAGGATATCGCAAATCTGCGGTTAGAACTTAAAGTAATTAGTTAAAAATAATTATTATATATCTTGACGTTTTAATAATTATTAAAATTATTAAATTTATTTTTGATAATTCTTTGATACCATTCTAGGAAATTCGTAAAGAACGAGATCGTTTAATCAAAAAGATTAAAGATATTTGAATTTGGTAGTATCGAAAAATAACAAAATGTTTATAATCAGTATTGGAAATTGTTTAAATTGTTTTTTCAAACAACATTAAAGAGAATTAGAGAGAGAAAGGAAATTTATAATAAAAAGAATTATTGTCAAAACTTTTCATTGTCAATTAAATACTAACTTCAAAAGAATAAAATTAATTATAGTGTGTGAATAATAAACTATATATTTATGACGATTTAAACATCTGACTTTTATAAATTGATTTAATACAAAAAAAAAAAAAATTATTATTACAGATAAAACTTTAAATATGAATTATAAAAAAATATTATGTGTAAAATAAAAAGTTACTTATTATGATGCCCGATTTAGGTTTTATATATGTATATTTAGAGAGAGAGAGAATGCAGTGATACCCGAATCAATAAATTGCTAAATGTTGATCTGCACATTGATTATTTAAAAATTGGTAAGATATTTATTGTATCACGCGAAAATTCACGAAACGTCATTCGCGCCTGAATAATAATTTCAATAATTTATAAGGAATTGTGTGACTGTTTCAATTTCTTGATTTCTCTCCTTGAAAATTTTTATTGTTTCCCTTTTTTTTTTCGATTCATCATACAAGAAAACATAGAACATATAGAAAAGGCATAGAGAAATGTTATTCTCAGGATACAAAGTAGAAATATTGGTCAACGGTAAGACTCTTGAAGAATGCTTTGAATATGTAACTGAAGGAAATAAAGTAAGTGTTTTTTTATGTTTATTTACTTTTTGATGACGACATATGCGGTTGTAACCCTAAAATTATTATTATTATTATTTAAATATTATTCATTCTTTTAACTTAGACAACTACTGGTCCTTCGTTTATTTATAATGAGTTGACTGTTAAAAAAACAGAAAGGTAATTAAACAAATATATATTTTATTATATTATTATTATTATACTATCCTAATAACAAAAAAAAAAATTTTTTTTTAAATATTTCTAATGAATATTATAATTTTAAATTAGTGATAAAACTTACTATGCAATAGTTGAAGAACCAGGTTCAAATTTCAAGATACAATATGAAGTTCCTGTTAATTCGACTTTGCCTGGCCCAATAATGGCCATAGTTCACGTAGATGGTCAATACGATTACACATACGTTCCAATTACTGATCATGAGGAAAGAATTCAAATAAAAGATGGATTTATTCATGTGATAAAAAATAAAAAATATCATTTCAAATTCGAGGCAATATTAAAAGAAGAGGATAAACAAAAAGATGTTGTCACTAACGCCATCGAGGATGGTACACAGAAGGAAGTTGTCGAGGAGGGGGAGTCAAAAAAAATCTTCGTTAATGTCATTGAGGATGATCCAATGGATATTGTCGTCGAAAATATGCAAAAGGAAATTTCCAATCCATCAGTCGAGAATGAACAAAAAAATGATGTTGGCATTGAAGATGATCAACAAAAGGATATTGTTGACAATGTTGACGAGAATGAGCAAAAAGATTTTATCGAAAATGAGCAAAAGAATGATATTTCCATTGAAGAAAGCCAACAAAAGGATGTTGTTGACAATGTTGATAAGGATAAGGATGGGCAAAAAGATCCCATTGAGAGTGAAAAAAAGAATGATGTCATTGAAGATAGTCAACAAAAAGATGTTGATACCATCTTTGAGGATGGGCAAAAGGATTCCATCGAAAATGAGCAAAATAATGGTTTCGCCGTTGAAGATAGTCAACAAATAGAAGTTGTTGAAAAGGACGAGAAAAAAGTTCTTATTGAGGATGGGCAGAATGATTCCATCAAGGACGAGCAAAGGGATCCCATCGAGAATGAGCAAAAGAATGTTGTTGTTGTTGAAAATAGTCAACAAATGAATGTTGTCGAGGAGAATGAGCAAAAGGATCCTATTGAAAGTGAGCAAACTAATGTTATTACTTTTGGAGATAGTCAACAAAAGAATATTATCGAGAAGGTCGGGCAAAATGATCCTATCGAGAGTGAGCAAAAGAATGTTACCGCTGTTTTTGCTGTTGAAGATAGTCAACAAATGAATATTGTCGAAGAGGACGAGCAAAATGATCCTATCGAGGGTGAACAGAAGAATGTTGCCACTGAAGATAATCAACAAATGAATGTTGTCGAGGAGGACGGGCAAAATGATCCTATCGAAAGTGATCAAACGAATGTTATTGCCGTTGAAGATAGTCAACAAATGAATGTTGTCGAGGAGGACGGACAAAAGGATCCTATCGAAAGTGAGCAAACTAATGTTATTGCCGTTGAAGATAATCAACAAATGAATGTTGTCGAGGAGGACGGGCAAAAGGACCCTATTGAAAATGATCAAACGAATGTTATTGCCGTTGAAGATAGTCAACAAATGAATGTTATCGAGGAGGACGGGCAAAATGATCCTATCGAGGGTGAACAAAAGAATATTGCCGCTGAAGATGTTCAACAAATGAATGTTGTCGAGGAGGACGGGCAAAAGGATCCCATCAAAAGTGATCAAACGAATGTTTTCGAGGAGGACGGGCAAAAGGATTCCATCGAGAACGAGAAAAAAAATGTTGTTTCCGTTGAAAATAGTCAAAAAATGGATATTGTGATCGAAAAGGACCTTGCTGAGATTGAGCAAGAGAATGTCAGCAATAATAATAGTAGTAGCAAGAATAATATCAATAATAATAATAATAGTAATAATCTAAAAAAAACGACTTCGAGATGTGGAGGTCTGGGAGCAGTTTCAGTTTATTTTTATCGAGCAGAACATTATTATCAAAAAGTTAAACCAATAGATTATGATATTAAACGACTTTACGGCAGTAGTCTTGGCAAAGAGAGAAAGACAAAGAGCAATGATCCAAATTTAGGATTCACAAGTTTTGAAGAAAATTCAATTTCTACTTCAGTTCCTTTGGAATCAATTCTCAAACAAAAATCCAAATATCCAATTGCTGCTATGCATTTACATTACCGATCAAAATCTTGGTTAATTGATAGAGGAATCTTGAAAACAACAATGCCGACAGCAACAACAACAAACCAAACCGATAATTTTGCATTCCCTCGTTTAAATAACATTCTTTTACCATCTATTCAAAACAACAATATTTTGGCCTACAATTTAGAAAATATTCGCAAAAACTATAATAATAATAATAATAACAATAATAACAATAATAATAATAATAATAGTAATAATAATAACAACAGTAATGATAATCAAAATAATAATAATAGTCAAAATGAAGAAGAAACAAAGAAAAACCAGAAACCCCCGGGAGGAAAGGTCACTACTACTCCCAAGATCAATGTTGGAAATCAAGAAAATATTGTTATTAAAAATAATCAGACAAACACCGTCACCATTAATAATAATGATAATAATGATACAAATAAAAACACCGCTACTACTAACGAAAATGTAAATTCACCTTCTTCTAATAATAAAGTTGATATGATAAAATGGTGGAGTCGTTGGAAGTCTACTATGTCACATGGAGAGGTAGAACGAAGGAAACGATCTAGATCAACAAACAATGAAAATGAAGAGTCATCATCTAATAAATCTTCTATGAATGATAATAATGATAATGATAGAAGGAAAAAAAGAAGAATGAGTGAGGATGTTATAGTTATTGATTAAAATATCTGATATTAATTAATGAAATATAATTATTTTTTGTTATTAATTTTGTTATAAATAAATAATTTTGGTATGTCTAAATACAATATAGAATTTATTAGTTTATTTTAGAATTTTCCCGATAAAATGTTTATTTTCGCGTATATTACGAAGATCCATATATAGTTATTCCGGAGCATCTTCAGAAATTGGTCTTATTTTAATAAACTTAAAACTTTACATTATTCAATACATGTTTCATTAGAAACTTTGTTTAATCACTTAAAAAAAAATCTTATGATTGTGATCACATTTCGAAACCGGGAACATAAATTTACTTATAATTTAAAATCCAAAACTTATTTTATTTTTTATACATCAAGATACTGATATTCTAAACCAAATGGCCAATTCATATTTTTACTCATTTTAACGTCTAGTTTTGAACTTTCATGGTGATGCTTTAATAGCATTTTCATTAGTATTTTGAGGTCTTCGTTGAAATCTACGCTTACGACTAAACTAACTTTGTAATAAACAAACCTTACATTTTAGATGTCAATCAAAAGATAAAAGATTACAAGAAAATAACCCACGTTTGCATATAAAAAAGACATTCTCTATTAGAGGATTAATAATCTTATCCCGATAAGTATACTCTGATAGATAAGCACTGTGAAGCGGATTTACAGGCAGTTGAAAGCACAATACACTATAAAATATAATTAAAGTCAATACGATCAACACAAATATCAGAGTAAGAAGTATTGTACTTACAATGCATTGTATATTGATTGAATCCACTGATAAGACTATCTGCTATTCATTTATAAAGTTATATGTGTGACGATTGACAATGGGATTCTCACAGAGAACAATAGCGATCTTACTCAAATCAACATTATACCCAGTTGTTGCTTTAATAATGGTATTAGTGTATCTTTTCAATGTTCTTATTTAATTCGTTACCAATAGGTGGCATTATCTTTTCTTCGACCTAGAAAATAACATTCGGTTTGTTTTTTTTTTTAAGACATTAAATAAATAACAAGACAATTAACCTTGCTCCAGTTCGTTTCTAGCATTAACCATTGATTTTTATTAAATTTTGACTTGACCGGATCACAATCGTTTTCTTCTGGTAAAAATATAATCTTTTATCTACCAATCCCACCAATAGCCCTGAGTTTTTCAACGATTGGATTCTATAATAAGACAAGGATTTCTTGAGCGATGAATTTTATGTTACGCGTAACATAAAAAAGATATCGAACCTTTGACGGCGCCATCTCTTCGTCTTCATTTTCTTCATAATCAAAAGAACCGTTTTTCTCAACCATTAACTAATGCAGTTCACCCAACTATTAGTAATATTGATTAAATTTTAAAAGGAAGTTTTATATATTAACCTTTTTTGCTGGCATTGTTGGTGGTCCTTCGTTTCTATAAGTTCGTTTGTGCCCTACGTTACCAATTTGGACATCATCGCAAGAAACTAATATACAATTGTTTACGTTTCTTTCTTGAAGAACGCGTTTTTCATTCTCGATACTTGTCCATAGTTTATCTACTTTATTGTCTGTTTTACGTTGATTTTTCTCCTAATGATGATAAATAATATTAGTTTTATTCAAGAGATTGACATACTTTTTGCATTACCAATAAACATTGCCTAGAGAACCATAACAATCTAACCTCCTAATTATGGAATGTCGCAACCACAATACAATCTAACAGATCTCAGAAGAACAACTAACAGTTGAGTCTTCCTTGTTGTGGACAACCGCAATTATCTAACATATTATTGCGGAGGGCAATCCCATATAGGAACAAATACTTGCCTTTTGTGCCATTTGAACTATTATTAATGATCGCGCGGAAACTTTTTGCGAGTACATCCAGCGCCTTTCCTTAATTAAGGTACTCTGGTTCTTCTTTGTAAATCGTAGTCCAACGTTTATGGAATTTGTAAGTAGACCAAGAACTACTATCGTTTTCGTCAAAATACGAGTGCCACAAATCGGTATTCATTGTATTTTTGAGACAAATGAGTTCCATTTGAGGAAGAACGCGTCGCGTATATTTCCAATGATAATAAACACTAGTTCACGCTAATGCCACGAAGAATTGAAACAGCATTGGATACAAAGGGAGGACCGGCTAAGTATTAGTTAATTAAATTTATTCATTTAAAAAATTCCCACAATTCACCATAATTTTCATAATTCATTTTCTTTTTTTAGGTTGCCGGTGCTATTTGTCGTGAGATGTTAAAGAATTTAGATTGAGTACTGGTCCCAGAGGAATTATTCATATTACTGATATGAAAGAATAATTTAAATCGACAATTCTCTCTCGAGAGACAGGAATGATAAATGACCCTCAAATCAAAATGGTCATTTATCAATGACCAAATGAAATGCATCAATGAAGGATTTTCCATTTTTTTACATTTTTTCGACTTTCTACTAAGATATTTCTAAGATAGAAAGGAAGGCCTTGTTCTTGGATACAAAAGATATCTAATAGCATTGATATTTGCGAGTTATTCACGTTTAAATTCGAATGTCCGTGAAAATTTTTCCAGAATTTTTCATAATTCTGGCCAGAATTACGGAAAATTTATGGCAGAAATTTTTCACAGACGTTTAAATTTAAACGTAAATATTGATGCCATTGGGATGAAACAATAACATTTTATAGCCAATCGTTCTACGTTTCATAAATCGCGGGCGAATTAAAAAAACGTAAAAATTTCCAGAGATTTTCACTTTTTTTTTTGAATTCGTTCGTGATTTACTATGGTATTTCTAAGATAGAAAGAAAGTCCCTACAAAATGATATGTATTTCATCCCGATAGCATCGGAATAAAATACATATTATTTTGTAGCGAAGAACAATGTCTTTCTTTCTATATACCTTAGTAGAAAATCACTCTACGCGCAAAAATCCTTGGTGTTAAATATTAGTGACATATGGTTGGTTGGGTTAAATGACCTGGTCATTTGAAATTCTAACTCAAATCCCAATTTAGTTAGCAAAGTCAATTTCTTTGAAGTTATATTCTTTATAAAATAATAATCATGCAAATCCATCTATACTTATTTAGACAAACACATCTATAATGAATTTTGCGTAAGAAAAAAAAAAATTTCTTTTCCACACAAGAAAGAAAAATTTCCTAGTAATAATTAATTGATTTTGGTACTACTCTATTTTTATTGGCTGATAAAATAATAGAAACTAATAAATTAAATTGATTGATCTGTGCATTTTTGGTTCCTTTCACGTACTTTTCTTTATTCTTCGTTTTATTTTTTTGAAAATAATGTCTCGCGTATTTTTTCGACATGATGAAAATCCTACAACAGGATTAGAAGATGAGGCACTTCAATTTACCAAAGAATTTTTTGATGACGATGATTTAGATATAGATTTAGTAGATGATGATGATAGTAGTAGAAATATTGATAATAATAATATTGATAACATTAATAATATTGATAGTGATAATCTTAACAACCTTAATAATAGTAATAATAATAGTCTTAATAATAATAATAATAATAATAATAATAATAATAATAACAATAATAAAAATAATAATAATAATAATAATAATAATAATGTTAATGTTAATGTTAATGTTAATAGAATAGGAAATAATAAATTTACGAATTTTTCAGTAATAGAGACCGATGTGGAAAAATTAAAAAGAGCTTGGCTAAATGAAAATTATTCTCCGGAAATTTTACCTTATGAACCTGCTCTTGAGAGATTAAATTCTTTGGTTGAAGATCAGGTTGTAATATATTTCATTATATACATTATTGTATATGTATATTTTCATTTCAATCAATAATTTTTTAAATTATTTCCAACGCGTAAAATTAATGTAAACTAACTAATTAATTTATTTATTATTTATTAATTTTTTCGCGTAAAAATTATTATCTCTTGCGTATAACAACACATATACACGCGAACCCACGACACGCAAAAACAATATCCATATCCATATAAATATTATATTTATATTATATTATATTCACAACAACAACATATTCAACACAGGCTACCAAAGCTGAATCCTTAATACTATCATCAATGGATACATGTTCTATTGCCATGTTATTATTTAATGATAATGAACGTGTAAAGTATATTATCAATCGATATATTCGAACCAGATTATTTAAGGTATTTTTACATTCCTTACCTTACTTTCGGATTATTATTTATTCAATTTTAAAAAAAAAAATTTTTTTAAATTAAACTTAAATATATTTACATTATATTATATTATATTAAAAAAATTCTAGATCGAGAAACATGTATCTTTTATTCTAGAAAATACCGAATTAAAGAATAGATTATCATCATCAGAATTGGAATTTGCTGAAAAGTGAGAATTATTTTTAATTGAATATTGTATATTGAATACATATATTGAATAAATATACTTTGTTGTTATTATTAGTTACATCAAATTAATTGAAAAGCATAAGGATTCATCATTTTTACATAAATTTTCTCAAAATTCGGTAAATATATTGAAGACGATGAATTATGGTATGAATAATTTTATTATTAAATATTTTCTTATTTATTTATTTATTTATTTTATTTATTTATTATTATTATTATTTATCATAGGAAAAGAAAATTCTTTTGCAATAAATGATAAATCAGATTTAGAACAAGCAATATTTTGTAAATTGAAAGAGGATTTTGGAACTTATTCTTTTCCTTCAAGGTATTAAAATTAATTATTTATTCATTTATTATTATTATTTATTATTCATTGTCATTTATATTAATTTATTTTAATTCATTTTTAATTTATTTTAATTTATTTTAATTTTTATCCAATTCTATTCGATTTTACTTTTTCAAATGTATAATATACAATATAATTAATATAATTAATATTATATGAAATATATAATGAATATATGATGATATTAGTCTTGATGAAGAAGAACAGTTAAAAAAAGGCGATTCATATTTGATCAAGTATAATGATATAAGAAGATTATTGAATGATGGTTATATTGATTTAATATGAAATTTAATTTCGTGTAAATAAAAAAATTTTAATTATAATAATAATAAATAATAATAGACGTTGATATTTATGTTTTCATTGGATTAATTTTCTTTAAATTTTCTTATTTATTTTTCATTAAAAAAAAAGTTTTTTTTTTTTTCGAGCAATGATTATTTTCAATAATAGGTTAATTAATTAAAAATTAAAGGGAAAAATCCTAACTACAAAGTTGATATTATAAAACCTTCACTTTGAGTTAAGGAATAACGTTGAAGTCATTATTATTAGAAATAGATTTTATCCAGAGAATAATTATTAAATATAAAGAGAGAAGGTAATGTTAACAAAGTTTCTCAAATCTTTTTTGTTGTTCCAGAATTGTTAGAATCAACCGAATTAACGACAATAAAGTGATATGCTATAATTAGAGTCATGACCACAACCCCAAGTATATTGCAGAATGTTGACAATGTTGTATCCTCGATCATTTTTGAGGTGAATTTCAGAATCTTTAGTTACGGATAATAACGAGTTGGGGATCTATTTATCAAAATAAGTTTATATAATTATTTCAATAACTATAATAACTATGAGAGTTAGATGCGAAATAAACGAAAATACGTGTCAAGTAAGAAAACAACAATTTACGTGGAATATTTTATTCTTTTTCGAGAAAAATAAAATGCGGTTATCATTGTTTAATCCAAATGGCAACAATTAATTGGTCCAATGAAAGGATCGTCGTTTAAGTATCAGTGACTTCACAATTCGCAAAAAAAAAACCTGGAAGAAATATAAAAATCCTCTGAAATCATAAAAAAATAAATGAACTAGAAATTGAACTAATTAAAGTAGAAGCACACATGGTATTAATCTAATTGTACTTTAAAGAGAATTAGGAAATAGACAACTAATAGTAAGTATAAAATATCACAGAATTGAACATAATTTTCTTTTCTAGAGGCAGCGTAACTTAGATCGCATACATGCCAAGCAAGTTATAGAAAACCACCACTTACATTTATTGTTTTAAATTTTCAGGATTAGATATTTTTTATATACAAAAAAAAAAACCAGTTTATTTTTTTTAATTTTGTTTTTTCTAAACAATCGACACGTCCATCATTCGTGTCACCAAAAGTTAATCAGACGCGGAAATGGAAAATGCAATATTGATTGACAATTTATTTATTATTTGCCATGTGGAATTACAATGGGTTACAACTTTTGGTTTCTTTACCAAAATGCCGTAAACTCACCTGATCAGAAAGCATACTATTTTACGTTGTAAAAAAACTTTAGCTTCGGATATAATGGGTAATTTGTTTTTTTTCGTGAATTCGTGTCTGATCAGATTATTAGGAAATATGATCTGCTATTTAATTTTCTAGCCTTTGACATCATGTATTAGTGAAAATTGTAAATACTTTCAATTTAAATCATTATTCATTTTATTTGATTTTGTATTATTATTAATTAAAAGATTGAAACCAAAAAAAAAAAAAAAAACAAAAAAAAATAAAACACTTTACGAAAAACAAATAAATAATAATAATAATCTTTTAATTCAAATTATTCATGTTATGTCTTCTATACATAAAAACGAAACATTTTTTTCTTATCTGATAACAAGGCGTACATATGGAACCTAGATAAATAGTATATTTAATTTTTTAATTAATAAATAAATATGGAATATTTTGAATATTTCATTTGTTTAGAAAAATTTTTTTTTTACCTCAACATCTTCTCCATTACGATCATTTACACACATTTCTAAAGTGAGTGCTTTGACATGCGGTGGAATTGGTTTTTTGGAAACCGTTTCTACTAACTGAGATAATCTAAATGCAGTCAAATAAATAAATAATATTTAAAATATAAATAAAATATAAATAATAAAATAATTGTGATCAATGAAATCAAGAAAAAAAAAACAAAAACTATTATTTACTTCATGTTTTTACGTTCTTCTCTTCTCTTTCCTTGTAAAAAGAATGAATATAACATGGAAACTCCACATGACAACATTGTCACTTCTAACTCATGATTGTTTGCGAAATAATTCAAAAATTCTTGAAGGGTAAGATCTCCTTCAATATCGAAACGATCCCACAAACTCCATTCACTTTCATGATACTATTTTTATTTTATTTTTTTTTTTTAAAAAAAAAAACATTATTAAAAATCAGTAATAAATAAATAAAAATCAATAAAAACAAAAAAATTAATTACCTTGGCTTTTGGCATAGCAACAGGTTCTGAGAATCCAAAGAATGGTAGAGCAAGATTTACAAATCCATTTCTATAATCTTCCAATGTTTTCTTATTTCCAATTATTTTATATAATTCCAAACATACCAAACCAGTTATTAATGCTGTAGTGGTAGCTATGGCAGGTATAATCTTTCCAGCAATAAATTTGGTCTTATGACGATCAGCGCATTGAATTCCATAATTCATGGCTCTTAAATTAGAAGCGGCAGTAATAAAATCAATATGATAATTTGTATCATCATCTTTTTCAAATACAACAGGATTTAATCGATATCCAGGAATTGATGATGGTTCAGGTAAAGAATGAACAATTTTTCGTAATTCAGATTCATCAGTATTTTGTTGAATAGTTTCATTCTCTTGTACTTGAATTTTGACACCTGATTTTGGAATAAATTTGGGTACACTGACTTCTTTTAAAATCTTCTTCACATAATCAATATTAGATTCACCTGTGGAAAAAAAAAGTAAATTTATAATTAATAATTTATTTATTTATTTATAATTAAATTAATAATGACTTATTACATTCATTCAAAAAATTACCTTTGAGACCATAATTAAATGCGTGTAAATTTGCTGCTGTTATAATAAATTCTAAATGAATTTCCTACGGAAAATAATAAATATAATTATATCAGTAAATATATATATATATAATATAAATTTTAAATTTCACCAAATATATTATTTATTTAAAAAACATACGTTTTCAGGATCAAAAACAATTGGGTCAGGTGCTCTTTTGGGACCGGACCAAAACGGTGTACCCGATGATGTGATCTATTCCAAAAAAAAAAATAATAATAGATATATTAATATATTAATTTTTTCTTGTTATCGTGTATGCATTATAAACTATATATATTTACTATATATATTATATAAAAATGCTTACAGAATCTTTCGGAAAGTTAAAAAGCAATTGTTGAATATTATTATTATAATGTTCTTCAAATTTGAATCGTGCCCATTTAACGCAATGGTCAAAACTATATGGTTTATCAGCCACAAGACTATTTGAAATATTCTCCAATACTTCTTTCGCGTTACCACCTTGTTTTATGGTGGATTCCACAAAATTCGGTTGACTTAAGTAAAGATTTACATTTTCCGAGGGTATCTTAAATAATCCTTCAAATAAATCTCGAGCCCATTGAATGGTATGTTCGATGGCATTGGGAAAATTTTTTAAAGTACAAATGGGAATTGATTTTTCGGGAGGATCTTGTGATGATGAATAAGATTCCGTGAGGTAAGGAATAACTACTTGAGTGTTACCCTTGGTGCCTAAAGTTCCTGATTCTAATAAAGGTTTTCTAAAGTAGACACAACGTCTATCCATGTATTTTCCTATATTAATTGATAATAATATAAAATATATATGTGTGTGAAAAATATAAATAATATGTTTACTCACTAATAAACAAAAAAAAAAAAAAAAAAAAACTTACGAGCATCAACGTTGTCTAAAGCATTAGTAACACAATCCAAAGATTCAAAGAAATCATCATTAAATACGTTTTCTGTTTCAGGACCAACACGATCTTGATATACATTGATTTTGCTTACAGTGTGAGGATTCATTTTAGCAATAGCAGATGCGGCACATTCTGATTTCAATTTCTATAAAAAAAATAAAATAAAATATATATATACACACATACATATATAAAATTTATTCGTAAAATTTCATAAGAAAATCATTGTCAGCACAGCGCAGTTATATAGTTGTATAATTGTATACATACTCCAACATCAAGAGGACGGAACAAGAATTGTCGATTTAAATTACTCTTTTCAATTGTGTCCATATCAGTAATATGAATAATTCCTCTAGAACCAGTACCCAATCCCATCATGGCCCAATTCTTTAACATCTCACAACCAATAGCACCGGCACCAACCTAAAAAAAAATGAAAAAAATGAATTATATAGAAATTATGGTGAATTATGGGAAATTATATGCCGAACTAATTTTTTTTTTAAATGAATAAATTTACTGAAAAGTATTTAAATACCAAGAATTGCCTGAAATTAGAAATATTATCTTGAAATTGTTTACCAAAAACAGCTATTTGGCCATCGTATCGAGAATTACACTAGTAAAATCATTTATATAAATATATAGAAATTTGAATATATAGATAGATAGATATATATATATAAAAGTGAATAATAACTTACTGGAGCATATTCTTCCGGATTTTGTGGAAGATTATCCGGAAGAGATTCCAATGAATCGAAATAAAAGAATTGATGAATGGGATGAAATTTTCCACTACAAGCTTTAAGTACTTCTTGAGCAACCAAACCACCAATAACTGCTACCATTGGTGACAAATCACCGGCAGCACCATAAGCAAGTTGTTTAATAATTTTATCATCAATTTCCGTCTGTAAATTTTAATTAAAAAAAATTGTTATAATTTAATTATATTTTGTTATGTAATTATTTTAAATGAAACTAATAAAATTTATTATACCTTTTCCTCACATTGCTCATTAAAATCTTTAGTTAATTGAAGAATTTCTTCGGCATCACCTTCATGATGTGGACGGGGAAATGAACCATGTTTTCCAACAAATGATTGTAACGCTTGAAAACCAAGATGCAATTGACCGGGTCGATTGAATTTCCCATAATCTGAAACTAAAAATTCCGGTTTTGTCAAAGATTCTCGAAGTGATTTCTATATACATATATACGTTTATTTATTTATTTAAATTAAAAAAATTCACTTGATAAATAGCCACGAGAAAGAAAGAGAAAAAAAAAAGGTAAAGAAATAATAAAGATAAACTTACAAATGGAAGCGTTTTTGGTTGTTTAACTTGTGTGAAAATTCCTCCAGTAATATAATTCCCAAAATTTGAAGTATCACCAATACTAAAGGAATACGGACCTAAAACATTGTCATGAATTTATGATGAATTTATGATGAATTTGTGGTTGAATTTATTATAAAATATAATTCGTAAACCCACATAATGTACATACCAATTATTTTAATTTTTCTTGGTTCACTATCATTCAATTCTTCCATACCCTTTATCTCGGTGAAAGTCACGTATTCCCCATCTTCCAAACCATGTCGTGTATCATCTAAGCAAGTGACGATACCATCTTCTTCTTTAGAAATTGCTGCGATCATACCTGATAAGGAATTTTCGCCGGTAACATCGGAAATAACGAAATTTTCTCCAAAATCGTTGAACACAGTACTAATAATCATAATAATCATAATTAATATAATTAATATAATTTATATCACAATTATCATAACGTTTTGATAAAAATAATAAATAGGATTTATTTACCCGAATAAACCGCGCACATCGGTTGAAATAAAATGTATTCCATTAGCATGAGTAAAATCATTAATTTCCAATTGCTTTGTCAATGGAGTTTCTGTAAGTACAATAACCTAAATTGATATATGATGATTGATGATGATGATGATGATGATGAACAAATTATATTTTATTAAATTAATAATAATAATAATAATAATAATAATAATAACGCGTAATTAATGTAATTAATCAAAATTTTATTTACTTGATAATTCCTTATTTTATCATTTGTCAATTCACCCTTCAATATAGATACAGGTACATATTGATTAAGTTCTGCCAATCGTGGCGCAGTTACCGAATCTCGGGATTTTCCTATATCTTCTTCACAAAGGAAAAACTATTATAATAAATTAAAAAAATCAAACATCATATGTAAATAAAAAAATTCATTTTTTTTTTTTAAATTTTACTTAATAATAATAAAATTTACTATTATTATTATTATAAAATAAAAATAATTTTAGAAATAGATTCATTTTTTTTTTAATTTCTAACCTGAGTCGCTAAATCAGCTATTTTGACTGTCTCGGGATCATAGAGAGTGACACTCTTTACACCAGCAAGTACGATATTTTTTGCTTTATTTTAAAAATATATGTTGAATGATATACATTTAATGAACGTGAAAATGATATTGATAATAATTAACATTTTTTAATCATTTAAAATTAAGAATAAAATATCTACCAATTTCAACCCCAAGTCCTTTGAGACCAACGATAAGGATATTAGAACTTCCCATTTTTCGCATGGCCTCGTGCCCAAGTACATAACTGCGTTTTTGAAATTGAAATAATAATAATATTTTATTATTCAGAGAGTAGATATCAAATAATAGTAATAATAATGATAATGATAAAAATAATAATAATGACCGTATATATATTATATATATATACGAAAAAAAAAGACGATCAAAATTTGAATAAATTACAGTTGTCGAGAATAAAGCCCCTCGTCAATTTCATGCTGTTCAGTAGTAGGTTCGATTTCCATTTTTTATGAAATTTAAAGAAAATAAAGAATAAATGATATGATCGTGAAATCTTTTAGTAATAATAAATGGTCACTTGAATTATGAATTTCGGAGAAAGTCAAATCAAAGTCAAATCACCCTTTATATAGTAATACTTGTAATACGAAGCCATTTTTCTGCATATATATAAATTTTTTTTTTTTTAAAGAATTCGATTTATTTCAATTATTCAAATTATGCCCGAAAGTGTTAAATTTTTGGAACTCGAGAATCAAGAGTCTCCAGTTTCTAAAAAAATTGGTAAAAAATAATTATACGTTTTATAATACCAGAATAAATAATAAATATTTACTTTTATAAAATAGATATTCAATTTTATTTATATTTTGTATTTTAGTCGAATTACTGAAAGAAAGGCCTAAAACAAATCAACTTTCACCGAAAATAATAGAAAACATTTCAGATAATAATAATAATAACAATAAAAATAACAACAACAACAACAACAACAATAATAAAAATAATGAAAAATTTAAAACTTTTCCGTTAAAGTCTCCTTCGTCACGTAAGTATCAAAAATATATATTTATTATATTGAGTTCATTATATCATATTTTTTTTTTTTTTAAAAAAAAAAAATGAAGAATTAAATAATATTCTAACATAATAATAATAATATATAGTATATAAAAGAATTGATGAATTTTTACCTCAAATTGCTGCCGATAATAAACAACTTTCTAATAAAAATCCAACCAAAATTAATATTGAACATATTGAAGATGGAATAGAACGCGTTATTGAATGGGTAAATAATATAAAATTTATATATTTCAATTTATTATTTCATATATTTCATATTTATTATCATCATTATTATTATTATTATTATCAGGATTTGGGAATTGGTGTATTTGAAAATAAAAAAGAATTTTCAGAAGAAGGAGAAGATATTGATATGGTGATAAGTAATAATAATAACAATAATAACAATAATAATAACAATAATAATAATAGTAGTAATAATAGTAGTAATGTTAATAGTAATAGAAATAATATTATTAGTATAATAAATTCAGAAACAAAGAAAACAGGAAAAGGTGAAACGAGAAGAGATGAAATAACGCGACAACAGAAAGAAAAGAAAGAAAATGATGATCAACTATTGAAATTTATTATAGATAGTATAAAGTATAATGATGATGACAATGATGATGATGATGATGATGATGATGAATTTAACGATATAGTAAACAATAAAGTAGATAATAATAAGGTGGAAATGCTTACAGAAAATAAAAAGTAATTATTGATGCACTTGAAATAATTAATATAAAAATAATTTATATAATAATTTAAAAATGATTTTAAAATAATTTATATAATAAATTGAATAAATTGAGGAATAAAGCCTTTATTATTATTATTATTATTATCCATCCAATAACAAATATTTAATCAACTCTGTCACAACTTTTACATTAATGCTATTCCCTAAAACTTTATATCTTTGTTTAAGAGTAATTTCTGGTGAAAATGAAAATTCTTTAGGAAATCCCATTATTGAAGATATTTCATATTCAGTGAAGTAACGTAATTTTAATAATCTTAGTGAAGAGATTATTTCTTCTTGAGATTGAGGAGGTGAAGAATTATTATTGTTGTTGTTTTTATTTGTTAAGGGTGAGACTTTATGAAATATTTCATTTGCCTTTATAAAATGTATTGAAATGTGTTAAATGTATTAATTGTATTAATTGTGTTGAAATGTTAATATCCAAATTAAAATATACATACATTTAATTCTTCATTTAATTGTAAAATCGAACCAGTTGCTTCAACATAATGATAATATCCTTTTGTAAAGCAACAACTTCTTTTCAATGATGGTTTTACTATATCTTTTAATAATAATAATGAATTATTATTATTATTAGATTATTATTAACTAATAAATTATATTGAATAATAAATTATAAATTAATTACCAAATAATTTTCCATATTTAATTAATATCTTTATATTATTGTAAAGTAATATTCATTCATTTAATATTCATTCATTTTTATATTATTTTATCATATTATTTCATAAAGATTAATTTTTTATAATATTAATTTCTATATCTAAAGTTTATTTACCTTATCAGAGATATTATACTTCTTATCTTCATTTAAATCATCTTCATTTTGTAAATATTCTTTTATGAATTTGATTTCTATTTTGTTATTGTTATCATTAATTTGTTTATTATTATATGGTGAAGGTGAAGATGTGTTGTCTTTCATTTTAATGTTATCATGATTTAATGTAATATTATTATCTAATTGATCTATTTCATTATCATCTTTTTTCTCTTCCAATTTAATATTTTTAAGATCTTGTTTTTCTGTTCCCTTTCCTTCCTCTTCTTCTCTAATATCTACGAAAGGTTGATCATATGGTGAACAAGGAATGTGACATAAAATTTTAGATGAATCTGATTCTTTAAATGTAAGTGGTTTTTTCTTTGCCTATAATGAAATAATGAAATAATTAGAATTACTAAAATAATTAATTAATTAAATTTAAATAAATATCCAATTAAATAATAATGGATTAATAAAATAATTAAAATACCAATAAATAATATCTTAATCTTGAATTTGGAATTCCTAATTGTAAAGGAGTAATAAAAAATTCTTGATAATTGTAATTACAATTATTTAATTGTTTTATTAATGTATTTCTAGTATCCGATTCCTATATATTTATAAATTAATATTTATATATATTTATTGAATAAATAAATCGAGATTTAATAAATAAATTAATTGAATAAAAATTAATCGAATAAATTAATAAATTATATCAATAGTTATATTTTTAATAAATTATATTACTTTACTTCGAATCCTTTAACATTTTCAATTAATATCCATTTTGGTGGATTCTTCATTTTATCTAATAATCCAATTAAATAAATAAATGATTTTGATCTATTATCTTTAGATCCTTGAAGTCGACCAGTTCGAGTATATGGTTGACAAGGTGGTGACATTAACCATATATCAGCTTTGAATGAGTCATAATAATTTAATGATAAGGATTCTATATTTCGCTTGATTATTATTTGATTGATTATTTTCTTATTTTATTTTATTATATTTTATTATTATTTTTTTTTCTTCTTTACTTTAAGGAATTGCTAAAAAAAAATATCATTGTAATAATAAAATATATTTAAAATTACCTGTTGCACGATAGAATTTTTTTGTTCACTTTTTTCAAAATTAGATCTATAGATTGAATTCGCTATAGTATTTATATCAAATGCTGCCAAAAACTCTCCCGAATAACCTGTTAAATTAAATGCGAAATGCTTTTTTTTTTAAAAAAAAAAAATGATTAATGTTAATAATGAAATAAGCTAATAATAATAATATCTTTTGGAAAAAAAAAATATAATATAATATAACATATGTACCATTCCACCAATTCCGGAATAAAATTCTAAAATTCGATACATTTCGTATCTTTCAAAAAGTGACTTTTATCGATCAATTTTATAAGTGAACTGGGAATAGACTTTCCTTTTTCACTAATCATATGGGCTCCATTCGATTTTGTCACATAAAACCAGAACATGCAGAATTTTAAAATAATATTGTAACATGACTTTGTAATACAATAAAATAAAGCTAATAATAAGGTTAATAGTATTTTTCGTTGTTTTCATAACTTTAAAATATATTCTAAATCGGTTCTAAATCGGTTTTTGGAATCGTTTGAAATCGTTTGAAATTTCAAAATTGCAACTTTTATGAACTAAATATGCCAAATGAATCAGTGAAAAACTTAATTATGGTAATTTTATATTTATATAAACTTTATTTTATTCACTAAACATAACTAATTATTTAAATTATAGATAATTATTCAACAAGAACATTTAATGAAGATTATCCAAATTCGTCTCGCATTGTAGCTACATATGTATCGGATAGTATAACATTTGTGTCATGGTATAATATAATATCATTGGGGCATTATCCTACTAATGTTGTTATGACACAAAAAAATTCAAAGGAAAGAAAACAATATTGGATACCCGATAATTACATTGTCGAAACTGAAATGGGAAAGAGAAAACTTCGTTGTGAAATGAAGTATACTTCAAATCAAAGAGTCAAATAATTTATTTTTTGGAAAGAAAATAGTGCCGAGTAGAGTGTTATAGTGAAAAATCAGCCACTGGTGCAATAATTGAATTTTTAAAGGTATAGATATTGTATATATATTTTGAATTTAATAAATTATCTAATAATATTTATATTTATTAGAATATTGGTCATAAAGCAACAAAACTTTCAGGTCCTCGAATTTTTGGATTAGATATGGAAAATTACATCAATGTCAACTAGAAATTTCCAATAAATCTATAACTTCTAGAAAAAGACCTCTTTCTCTTATTCAATCTAAATCTGGACAAAGTAAACGTTTTACTGCTTTTGGAAAAGATTCAGAATAAAATCTTATGTCCTTAATGTTAAAACACAATATGATTACAAGAACTGGTCAACTAGCTATTTCTGTTCATAATATTGAATTGGAATTTAATGGCAAAATCATCAATTTAACATATAACAAAAATGTTGAATGTGAGAAATTAGATGCTATTGTACACTTGCAATGAATCTCTATTAGCAATAGATGGATATCGACATTTAACTGCTGTTGAATCACATCTTATTCGTGAATATCACATTGGAGAACACAGAAACAACATTACAAATATTATTAATAAAAAAATAAGAATAAGAATATTTAATCTTGACAAAATTTAGCAAAATGATAATAGTTTGAATATTTTGGAAGATTATAATGGAGAAATATTAGTTGGTGAAATAGAAATTGGAAATGGTGCATATGGATTGATATAAACTTTACTTGAAGTATTAATTTCTATTTGGAAAAATTCTTCTCCACCTGTTTTAAATAATGGAGAAAATTAATTTGAAAATTGAATGTGATAGATGAAATGTAGGATGCAAACAAAATCACATAATGATGATGTTTTGTTTATTAAATAAAAAACAAAAGGTTTTAAAACCAGATTATCAATATTGGTAATAATTTTATATTTATTCATTTATTAAATAATTATTTTTTAATAACTTTATATTTTATTAAAATTATAATATTTGTCTTTACATTGGATGAGAAAATTATAATGATTTAGCAAAAGTTAATAGAATATTTCAATATTAGCTACATGATTTAAAAGATAATAGAATTATAGATTAGTATAATATACATTGGCCTATTGAATTTTATTTTTGTGGAGATTGGAAAATTACATATATTATTAAAGGTATAAATATTTCAAATTCTAAATATTTTTGTTTATTCTATGATTGTGAATCATCAATATGGTGGGATATGGATAGAATATGGAAAAATGAAAATAATTCTAAATGTAAGTTGATATAATATTTAACTTAATATTAAATAATAAATATTAATTTTTTATATATTAATTACAGGTAAAAAAAAATAACCTTTATTTCCTGCAATTAATCAAGAAAATTATATACCTGATGAATTACATTTGATATTACATATATCAGATGTTTTATTGAAATGTTTTTTTTGAATTTATTTAAAAAAAAAGAATTTGCAAAACAAATCAAATCAGAAATTGAAATTACATTTAAAAATATAAAAATTTAATTTGAATTTTTCCAGTCAAAGTTAAATAGTAAACTATAGAACTGGATATCTTTAATGGGTTCCAATAAAAAAGAAGATGTTAAAAGATTTTCCAGTTATACAATTTATTTCTGGTGATCATGAAAAGATATAGAAAAATTGTGACATGAATTTTATCATTTATATACAATTTTACATATTTTGGAATCACCTTCAAATCAAAAAATTAATCAATTTGAAATTGATGCACAAAATTGGATCTATCTATTTTGTTATCTTACTTAAGGTTATATAAATAGCACTGATCAAATTTGTGGTTTATATAGAAAAGAGGATATAATTTCTTATATACATGTTTTTACTAAACATGTATTTTAATTTTTATGTGAATTAAAAAAAAATACTTTCATTACAATACTTTTTTACATTCAGTATTGAAAAAAAGAATTATAAACAGGTATAAATATTATACTTAATTTATAATTTGTTATATATTTTATTGATTAATTTTTTTTATTACAGGTTCATCTATTTTTTGGTAGTATTACCATAGGTGGGAGAACTGATAGAAAGTTTGTTGTCTATAATATGATGTCATTTGAAAATCACCAATTGTATTATTTACTTAATAATACTTCTAAAAACTAATAATTCAAAATGTTAATGTGAATAAAGAAAATATATAGTTATTCTATAACATTTGATATATAGTTTATATATAATTATTGAAGTGATGTATGAGGTAATATAAAATTATAATATGTAATAGTTAATTCCAGAGGTTTATTTGGTTTATTTCTAAATAAATAATATAAATTCAATAAAATAATAATTACAAATTATTTTAATTAATTATATTAAATAATTTATATTATACTTATTAATAAATTTCCCATAATCAATTAAGAATGTACATGTTGCAGTACCACATTAAAAAGTTTATTTATTTTTATTTAATTTCAATAATGACCTATTGAAAATAAATTTACAATTACTTATTTTTTATAATTATATTATTTAATGTGAAAATACTTATCAACTAAATTTCATTTGATATATTTCCTCATTATTAGCAAATAAAATGTAACCAGTAATTTTTGTTTCAGGATTTTGCTTAGAACTCCAATTTTCATAATTAAGTATTTGCTTAAGTCTTTCTTCACCTGCCTTTCCTTGAAAGTGACAATAATATTTTTGTTATATTGGACTATAACGAAAACTAGATTTATTTTCAAATAAATTTACAAAAATATTTTCAGAAAATACACTGATTGTAAATTTTTTAGAACCAATGGAGTGTCTATTAAATTCAAGTTTCCTTTTAATAAGAATTATAAATGTATTTTAATATTAGTAAACAAGTTCAAAGGAAAATAAAAAAAAGTGAAACTCTATAAAATACAATTTTGTTATTGCAATGTTTATTTCTTTCATATATTATATATTTATTTTTAAAAGGAAAATTTTGTTGGCAAAGGAAGCATTTGTGAGTTTCTTTAATATTTTCATATACAGTATATTTATGTTGTAAATATTTTTAAATTTATAACGTGACATCCAGAAATCATATATGTAACATTATATGATATTTAAAAATTGAGTGGAAATAAAATCAATCTATATGACAAAAAGCACTAACATTAAAATCACAATTTAATATTTTTCAAGAAGTAGAATTTTTTTATCAATATTAGAACCCTTCATCTTTCACTTAACAACAAAAAGCATATCATATTAATTTATTATAACTTTTTTAAAAAATTATTTCATTCTGTATTTGGAAAAAATAAAAAATTAACAAAGAAATTTAAACCTTAGTGTACTAATCTTTTATTGGAAATTGCACAAAGTGAATAGGTAAAAATTAAAAATAAAATTATAAAAAAATTTAATTTAAGTAAAGATATTGAATTTAGAATAATGGTTGACTTGTTAAATAATTTAATTCCAATAATATTGAATATATATGCTATATTATTTAAATTCAAATTATTTGAAAAATATATTGAAACAATATTTCAAATTTGAACATTCATATTATGATAAAAAAAAAATTATAATAAGGCACCTCTTGTTTTTTTATCTGACTTTTTTATTGAAATGATAATAATTATTCATTTACAGATATAATTAAAAACTATTTATCAAATTTTAATAATTATTATGTAGAAAATATGCATAGTAAAATTTGAACAAATATTTTATCAAATGCAACTGCTGAAAATATGGTAAAAAACAAGTTTATATTGTTAATATAAATATATTTTATTTTAATTTTTATAAAGTATTAAAAATATTAAATTTTTTTTTTTGCTCTAGTAAGGTCTTGCTTCAAATTTATTAATTAAGAAAAGAGAAAGTCTTTTACATTATTATTACATATATTAAAAATATTAAATAAATATTAAATAAATAATAAATAATTTGTTTTAAATAAAATAATAGTAAATTGGAATCTTTTATTTAAAGATATTTATAATAAAATTCGTCATTACTTATATTTTCAAACTACACTTGATTTTTTATATAAAAAAACAAGTCTATTTTTATTAAATTACTTTGAAATATATTTAAAAATCAAGAAAAAAGTATTTTAAAATATATTAGAAGAAAAAAAAAAAATTAAAAACTTATTAATTAACTACTTTGGAAGAAGAGATAGATTTATATTATTTTCCAATAGCTTATAACACTTCACATTTGCTAAAATTAGGATTATGTGATACATGTGAATTTTCTTTAAATAATGTTAATAGTGTAATACTTGTTTATAGTTATGATTACCATATGTTTTGTTATAGTGGAAAATATACTTGCACACAAAATTATTTTAAAGTTCCAAAATTGCAATTTTGAAAAAGAAAGTTGAAATATTTTTTCATAGAAGATAAAATTATTTTACTTAAAACCCAAAATTTTTTGACCACCCAGATTTATTCTTTGATTAAAGATATATATAATTGAATACTTTTTTTACTTCTATATATAAAATAGATTCTGCATAAATCTCAAAGTCGAAATATTTCAAAAATCTAAAATCAATTTTGGAAACATATATAGTGGAGAATGTAACTATTGGAAAAATTTTTATAAGAATAGTATATTTGAGAATATAAAATTATTTTTGAAAAGATCTGAAAAAAAAAATTAAAATACTTACTTAAGAAGATTTTGATAATGTTGAAATCAAAATTGAGGAGGAAGAAATAGAAGAGATAGAAAGTGAAAAAATAGATAAATTGTCTTTATTAATAGATACAATTAATAAAATAGAAAGTTAATAATAAAAAATTAAATATATCATTTATTATAATATGTAATTGTATTTTGTTTTTGGAATTCACTTCTAAGATAACTTTGTAAATTAAATAATCTCAAAATGATTTTCACCACAAAGTAATAGAATAGCAAGGAAAAATATATTTCGTAAAATATTATAGCAAATTGTCACATTCTTCATATGACACATTATAGGCAAACGTAAAAACATATGAATTTTTATATATAAAATTCAAGTAATATAATAATCAAAAATGAAATTCTTTATGTTGGTAAAAAGTGGTTAGAAGGATTTATGTACTGTCACAAGCTTAGTAATCAGCACTGTATAATAGTATCACAAAGATTACCAGAAGATTTAATTGAAAAATAATATGAATTTTTAAATTTTATTTTTTATCGTCATATTCAATATGATTATTTTTTAAAATTAATTGAAAATATAGATAAAATATCATTATCTTTTGATATATCTAACAAATATAACAATAGAAGAAACTAGTGCTAATACAGTTAATATACATACTACAGGTTATGAAA